GGGGGGAATCATATACATTTAATGCTACGAGTTGAAATAATATTATATCCGTTACAATCAAAACATATAGCCATAATAAGTAAGTGCTTTTTGGTGTACCTGCTTTGAGCAGCCTTTAGCAATCTGAGCAAGTGCAAAGGGAGCTGCATGGCGCTTCTCCCACTCTGGGGCATCCCAGTAAGCAGACAGCTGCTCTTTAGCAATATGAACAAAAGACTTACCTCCTAATGCACGAGAAAACCGTTCTATGAAGTGCACACTAAAGCCGTGGTTACTTGTTGCCCCTGTACTATCATACTTGGTCTTGGCACTATGCCAATCAGGGTCATCCTTTATACCGGCTAATAAATTCACTAACACTGTTAAACATCTGCTAATAAACGAGAGCAACCTCTTCATCATCCCAGGTGTCTTCTCCCAGCTTGCCTCAACCAAAGTTACCAAAAATTCAACCGCCCCATGCCTCGTCCCCTCTTGCAATTTCTCATACTCTGCTATATCCAATATTGAACCCACAACAACCACTAGTTGTCGCCTCAAGAACCTAGGCTCATTCTTCGCCAAGTCCTTTAAAAATGCCAGCACGTACCATGATGCATCCTCGTCCCCACCGCTGCTCAATGTGTCAGCCAACGTCCTCAGCACACCTGGCAATAGATCTTGAAATTGCTCCTTTTCATTTGAGCTCGATACGCACTGAATGAAGTTGATCACAGCTTTTGTGGCCGCAATCCTCACATTGAGATCGAGGGTATCATCATTCAGTGTATTTAGGAATACTGAGTGCAGATCTTTTACCCAAAGGACAATCTTTTCGCTTCTATGCTCAGCTAGTTGCGCAAGTATTAAGAAAACTGACTTTTTTAAAAAGTTGTTTGAACTAGAATTAGTGACGCATTGGTGCAAGAAGGGCAATAACTCAGGCCAGTTATTATCCGGAAGAGGTGAAGCAGCCAGCGTATAAACAGTGTAACGAAGCTCTCCGATGATGAATTCTGATTCTTCTTGGTTCATACAATCAAGGATCATACACTTGATGCTTGATTGAGTGGAGACACTTAATTTGTGCCAAGTGCATAAGTCATCATCTTTAAGCAACTTCTTTAAGAGGAGAGCACACTCTTGACGGGTATAAAAGTCGTGGGAAGGACCAAGATAGTCAACAAGCTTAAGTGCAAGGGATTCTGGATCCTTCTGCCTCATCATGTTAAATATGGACTTAGCCTCCGAATCATTTTCCTCGGAGCTGTCTATGTGATCAGAAATAAATGTTTCAAATGGCTCTGAGTCAGGCCCAAGAATAGCCTCCATATCGGCCTTCTGTAACTGAGTAACCTTGCTATCCATTACAGTATATATTAAGATAAGAGAGAGACAGAGAGATGACTACAGAGTTGTGACAAATGAAAGAGATTGAGAGACAACTATGGAGTTGTCAGAAAACTGTAATATATTAAGGTAAAAATTACAGATACCTCCTCCAACAATTGTACTATAAATATTAAGGTCAACTCCCCTTTTTTGTTTTAAAAGATAATAAAAAGGTCCCCCCGGGCAAACCTACAAGCCAATATTTTAATAAAATATCTTAATATCAGCCTATTGTATTGTATATTGTTACTTAAAATTAAAATTTTATTATTAAATTCATTGTTATGGAACAGAAAAGTGTTATCCTATGTAACAGCTAAACGACATCGTATGAATCACAAATTCCAGAAACTCTTCACAACGCTAAACGACATCGTCTTAGTACCAAATCAGCTAGCATGACTGACCTCTGACTTCATTCTAGAAACTCGAGTCGATTGAGCTCCATATTTGACCGGATCCGACCAGTGAAGAACTCGTCGGCGTCAAGCCTTGGCCTCATCACCGCCGTCGTCCACGGCGCCGTGAAAAGTAAAAATTATAGACTCCTCCTCCGAGCTATTATATATTATCGTTAACTCCCCTTATTATTTCCAAACTTATAAATTACCCAGAACCAATTTTCTAGTAACTGTCATTTCTCTTTAAATTATTTACTTTAACTTAATTTAATAGCCCTTCAAAAATTCTGTTATTTTTAATATAGAATTAACATTTAACACCCACACGCAAAATAAAAGAAAATTTTTATGGAAGTTTCAGGGGTTAAGCAAAACGCTGAAATAAGTGCTACTTAAAAACTTCAAATTATATGTATGGGACTTGAAGGGTTATAACTTATAATTACATCATCTAATAAAAGTTAGGGGCAAATTTGTCTCTTTGTATTTTCATTTCATAAATATGAAAGGAGGATGCCTATGTAAATAAGTCCAAATTTCACTTATTTATTATTCTCTTATAAGTAGTTTCACTAAGATATAACTCAGATCAAAATTTGAGATAACTCTCTTATATCTTCACCAAAATTTATCCATTTCTTGATGAACCCTCATAGTCCAATGAATATGTAAGAATTAAGTAGTCTAAACTATTTGTATAAAAAAAAAAAGACCATTTGTATCAAAAGAAAAGTATATAAAGGGGGCTATTCATTTGTAATTCACCAATCAAACAATTCAAGTACGCTCTAATACAAAGCTCCTTTAACAATTCTCTTGTATATTTCTCAAAGTGCCGCAAGAAATATTTCAACAATAAACACTTTCGCTTATGTTAAATTATCGACTTTGCATGAAACTGTATTATCTTTTTGAGATAAAACGAGGTGAATTGATACAAAATTATCAGCCCTATGTCTAATAGCGTTGCTATGAATTATTATTTTATTTTTTCGGAAAACTGAATTTGAAATCATTATTTTCCAGTTCCTGCCATATAAAAAGGTAAAAGTTATACACTACTCCTCCGAGATTATATATATTTAGGTCAACTCCCTTTTTGTTTCAAAAATTATGAAGTTGTCCAAGCAAGTCTGTGAACCAACTTTCTATCTTAGGCAGTCGATAATGGAAAGGGATGTCAATGATCTAACGTGATGATAGTAACATTTGATCAATCATCTGACGTGCTTTATATTAGATACATATTCTTAAGTAATTGTCATTTCTCTTTTATTTATTTAGTTGAAAGTTTCATATTATTAAAAATAAGGATCTTTACACAAATAGCCGGTCATGTTTATTTTTTTTAGCCATATACATAGATTATACATTAACTATACACATATAATACATAAATTATGCATATATTATACCTTCACCGGTTATTTTTAATTTAAGTTATTAAGTGGGCGGCTATTTGTGTTAATACTTCTTAAAAATATGCTCTTTTTTATAAAATTTAAATATGTGATTATAGTAAAAACAATCTGAACTAATAAAAGGAATATCTTAAAACTGATTATAAAGTTCGTGTTGAAAGTGAGGTGTAATCAACACTTCTATGGATTTACTTTGAGTAACTATACCTACTATAGCTAGGCTACTACGCTTTCTTTCATATCCAAAGGCGCAATTAACGGAGTGTTGAACTTGAAATCTTGGATCAAATGAGCAATTGTAAGATGTTCCACTTACAAAGCATAGTTCATTGCTGGAAAAGATCGTCTCCTAAGGTAATCTATAACACTAGAGAATTAGGCTTTTTCTCCCGCCTCAGCTTTACGAATGGAAGAAGGGAGAGAGCGCAGCACACACACTCTATATTTTTTGCTAGTTTTCTCTTTAACCCGATCACGTGGATGTAGGTATATGATCTATCAAATGCAGAATTGGTTGCCATAACGATATTCATTGTCTACGGCCTCAATAATATGTGTTTATCAATCACCCGCTTACCACTAGGCGAATACGAAAAGGAATAAATATGTTCAGAGTTCTTCCTACATCAATTGGTAAAAAAGACAAAATCGCGTACTGCTACTGAGGTCTAAAACGATCAAACAATTTCTATTTATGGTCCTTGCAGATCAGATCTAATTATAATATATACACATAGCCAAATGGGAACAACTCATAGGGTTAACCACGCAAGTGAAATTATGTCGTAAAAACTCTCCCTAAATCGAATTTATGGGAATTTGACCATATGTTAGAATCTCGATTCATAGCATTAACAAATAGTCTAGTCCCCTTATCATCACGAGCTCCACGAGGTATTATAATTGGCCCAAGTAGGTATAATCCAAATGCTTCCTTAACAATGGTCAGGGGCTGAGATAGAAGTCTAGATACGGATTCAATAAAATTTAGTAATTTTTGCTCAAATAATATATTTATATTAAAAATTTATTAAATACATACAATATTAAATCTAAATTAATATTTGTGTTCAGTTATTAACATTTGAAGTTATCGTTCTAAAATTCAAAACCCACAAAGTAAAAATTATGCCTCTACCTTTAACAATAGCTCGGAGGTATACCAATTTTTTTTATATCGCTCTCTTCTACCCATTTATCTATACCAACGTCCATGTCTAGTTCTTGTACTTCCTCCATGACGTGCTTATCGTTTATCAATAATGCCATTGTCCAATTTATGTGAAGAACAAGGGTACCCGTTGCATCCAAGACCATATTCAAAGAACAATAATTAATTAAACCATAGCAAATTATTTGTCAAGTCATGAACAGAAAAGAATCCAATGTACCAATTTAACCGGACAAAATGTTCGAATATATTCAAGTGAAGTGATGGGAGTATTGTTTTTTATTTCTAAGTGGAGCCATGCACATAAACGATAGATTTGGACAGCCTGCTACAGCCCACAAGCATCTGTGTCTGGTAAACTGGCTCACCAAGACTCAAGCAAATGGGCTCACAAGGGGTCGTTTGGTATGAGGTATAAGTAGATATAGTGCTGGTATAAAATTTTAATACCACATTAATACTTTGTTTGGTTAGCAAACCTGGTATAAGTTATCCCGGGATTAAAATTAGTACCGGAATAACTTATACCTTGTAGGGGGTGGGATAATTAGTGTCGGGATAACTTATACCTTCTTAGAAATTATGCAATTATCATTTTTAATACAACATACCAAACAGTAAATAAAAAACAATACCAGGATAACTAATCCCAGCATAACTAATCCCAGCATAAGCCGTATTCAAACCAAACGACCCTAGTGTTGTAGCTGGGATTTAAACCAAAGATGTCCAATTACTCATATGCCTCACCCACTCAACCATCTCTTTGGGGACCTAATTTAACCATAAAGAATGAGAATGCAGCAGAGAATTACAAAACTCGAAATTGCTAATGAGGAACAATTTTGATCTTGTCCCTCTCACAAATATCTTCTCTGCAAACCAATTCACATGACTCCAGCACCCAACTCGAACCACACTAAAGTTGACACCTTGAAAGCAAACTGCGTAGCTGTTGCGCGAAAAACCACATACTAGAACTACAGTAAATGTTATAACTCATCTAGAACTGTACCTCCAAGCAGTAGGCAGCTTCCACTTTAGTAACATCAAATATCACTGCTATATAAATTGAAAAAGATTGGTAATCTTCCCACTTAGAGGCACCATCATAAATTTCACTACCGACTAATTTAAGGTGGAGGAACAAATAAATTGGTAACCAACCAAAAGAAAGATAACATAGAAGAATAACCACAATGCAATACTGAATACATACAGGACCAATCGGATCGCTGATTTTGAAAGTAAAAAGTAAGTAGTAAACAGAAACCATCAGTCACCTCTTCCTCACAGTTCAGTAGCTGCAGATCAAGGGTATATGTTCTTCAATTTTGGACTCAGTTAGGTCATGACTCATGCCTCAGAATATTAAAGAAGCGTATGAAAGCTGGAGTTTGTGAAAGTGGATAAAAATATCAAGAAAATCTGAAAAATGAAGCTCGCAAACATTTATTGGTGTGTATGGACAAAAAGAAACCGCAGATGATTTGATGGAATCTCAACTCCAAACCACTCCTAGAAGGCTAGATTTCTACTGTTTATTTGGTGGGAGCAACTCCAAATAATGCTGATCCTTTTTTGGACTTTATTAGCTCCCTGACTTTAGTGTAGTCTCATATTTGGCTAACCCCCCCTGATTTTTTGTTTTTGTTAGTTCCCCAGTATAGCATCGAATCATGTACCAGAGCTAGCACATCTTTTTTTGTACTTATTGCACCTTCTTGATGCCAGTAATGAAACATCTTACTTCATCAAATAAAAGTAAAAAATAACTACATTAAAGGATGACATGTCAACATATAAGGCAATTAATCAACAAATATAATAGTCAACAATATGGTTAGCACACCAACTACTTTGTGGTAACAAGAAGACGACTAATAATGTAATTACTAGCAAAGCAATAACTTGCTATCAGATTGGGTCATTGGGATTACATTTGAATGATTAAGTAGTACCGTCACATGTCAGCACAAATGAGAAATTAGAACCACAGCATAAAGCTCGTAGGTCCAGCAAAATTTACACATGAACGGACTAGAGCAAAATGATACTACAGCCTAGGGTTAAGTAAAAGTTAATTAAGGTTCAATCAACATGTCTCAGTAGATTTTGACTTCAACAAAGAATATTAAGAAACATCTCCTATATCCTCACAAAGTGATGTCCAATGCATAGTTTGTTTGTTTTTTTTTCTTTTTTGACAAGGTAAAGTTGTGATGTTAATGCATAGGAATGGTGTAACAACATCTGACCTAATACTTTTGCCTTATGCGGTTAATCTGGTACAGACGGGTGGCTGAAACCAAGACACTATTCCAGGAGCTGTGTGAAGAGCCGACTGGTTCCCCATCTGCAGCAGAACTCATAACTACAGAAAATGCTTTGCCAAGGCATTTAGCTAGAGAACTTTAGCTCATTCAAAGCTCAATTAGAATCTGTTCCGCCCTATACGTGATATGTCTAATATGCTGCTGTTAGAATTTAGAAACAAAGTAGAAAGAAGATTTGTTAAATTACCTAATTCTAGACCCACAACCCAGAGTACTGTTTTAATAGTAGCTAGTGAGACCTACATAACCAAAACCACAAAACATAGTCTTTCATACGAGTACGGAGAAACCTACATAACCAAAACCACAAAACATAGTCTTTCATACGAGTACGGAGAATTGTTGGCATGTGTGAAAGCAGATCTAAGAAAGCATAACGAATTTCAGCAAGCTCAGATCTACTCTAATCACATTAAACTACAAACCAGTGAAACAGCATTTAGTAAAAACCAAACATTATCAGCTTACACAGAAGTAATTATAAAACTTTTATGTCTCCATTTTCTATTAAACAACCTAATTTCTACATGTAACAGCAGTAACACCAAAATTAAAGTAAAACAACATACAAAAGGATCAAGCATCAGCACCCTCTTCAGACTTCCCTCCAAACGGATCGTGAGATGGACCGGTATCCTGACCAATATGGCGTTGCACAAGGCGCTGCAAATCAGCCATAACCTTCTGTTCACGCTTAGCCTTCTCCTCATAGTTAAACATGGCCAAGGCTCGCTTGTCTTCAGCGCTGTAAACTTGGTTTTCTTTTCTAATACGAATAGCATTCATCCTTTGATGCCTACTACCACTCATCACATACCCAAGACCCTCAAATTTCGAAATCTCATCAGCTGAAAGACCCACTTCACCTCTACGCGGAATACGCTTCCCTTGCTGAACATATTGGGCAATAGCATCACCTTCACCAGGCCTAAGTGCCCCACCATAGCTTATATGCCCTTCAGCCCTGGGTAATGGCATTGGACCAACTTGCGGCTCATTATCCAAATTACTCTTTTTTCTTGCCTCAATCAGTTCTTTGAATTCAAGCAACTCACTATCAACTTCATCTATCGTTGTTTCATCGGCCTTCTCATTAATTCTAGCATCCCCATCCAATTCCAAGCTCTTTTCTGGTATGTCACTATCCCCATCATCCTTCTTTTTCTTACTCTTCAAATCGCGCTTTTGCTTCTTACTAGCATCAGAATCATCACTATCACTCTCTTGGCTTTGGCTCTTACTCTCACTCTCATCTGAATAGCTTTTTCTTTTGCTTCTTTTCTTCTTACCCCTTTTATCTCTCCTTCTACTACTTTGCTTTCTCCACGACTTCTTCCTTCGTATTCTCCTCTCTTCTTCTTCTGAATCATCGCTCGACTCTTCCTCCGATTCACTCTGACTCTCACTCTCCCTTCTCGATCTCCTACTTCTACGTCTAGACCTCAATTTCTTCCTCTTCCTAGATTTCCTGGATTCCAAATCCTCCGAGGATTCGGAATCTGAAGCCTCTGAATCAGAATCTGAGGCCTCCGATTCAGATTTGCTAAATTTCAAATCTTTTTTGGATTCATCAGTTTTCTTTACCTTCTCATCTACACTTTTTTCTACAATTTCATCAGGTTCATCGTACTCTGGTTCATTTTCATTCCTAGGTGGACTAGGTGTGCAATTCCAAATACAATTCTTCAACTGTTTCCTCAATTTCTGACGCTTTAGCCTTCGGTACTCTTCAAAATTCAAGCCTTTAGCTTTAAGCTCTTCATCCGAATCTGAATCTGCAATTTTTCCATTCCTATAATCTCTATCGAGGTAGGGTTTCTTACCACGTCCGAATCTTCTAGGCGGCTCATTTGTAGAACTCGGTCTACGGTACGAACGATCAGGAGAATATGATCGCCGACCATTTCGGCCGTTAGGTTGCTGGCCTCTATAGGGACTATATGCCGGACTACGACTGCGGCAACGGCTCCCTCTGAGACTTCGGCTTCGGCTACGATTTCGGTTTCTGATAGGGCTACGGCTACGGCTTCGATAGCGGTGGCGTTGAGGGGAGTAACGGCCGTCGTCACCGTTCCCGTAGCTGCGATGCCTTTCGTCGGAGATTTCAACGGCGGAGGCGAGTCTACCCATGGGAATTAGGGTTTCGAAAATTGCAAGTCGAAGAAGGTGACGCAGTTAACAAGCGTTCTAGCAAAAATAAAAGTTTTGACAAGTCGGTTTTTCTTGTAGCACAACCTATACTTTTTAGCTTTCGTTTTTAAAAAAAAACAAAAAACAAAATCCAACCAAACCGAAAAGTAGAAATTTAAATTTATTATATATATATATATATATATATATATTTTTTTTATATATATAAAGTTTCTAAAATTTTATGATACATATTAGTCATTTGTATTTTTAATCTAATTTTTTTTGTTATTATAATAATCTAATTCACATTTATATTCTAGTTTGATTGGTAGTTTTCATTTGCTAAGTACAAGAATTTATTTCATATTAAAAATAATTAATTTTTAATTAAGTACTTAAATTATTCATCATTATCTGATTCAATTATTATCAATATATCTTGGTAAATAATAGATTTCTCAAAGAGCAATTGATTTGATAGTGTTACGTTGAAAATGTAGTCGCCGCAACATGCGTTTGGTAGTGTGTCTCATATTTAAGGGGAAAAAACGATAAATAACCGAAAAAACCGAAAATCCGATAAAACTGAATCGATAAAAAAACGACTTAATTGGTTTGGTTTCGTTCCAATATTTAAAAAATCAACTTACTTGGTTTGGTTTCTTTTTTGGGAAAAACCGACCCAAACCGAACCATGAACGCTCCTACTTACCTCCCCTTGAGCTCTAAAATTATCACAGATATTCATGGTTTTAAAATTTAACGAATATTGCTTAACTTTTTTTACTTATTTTAATGCTTTAGTGTTTTGTTTACCAAAATAATCCTTTAATTAAATCTTCTCTGGACATATTTTACACATCATACCTTAATTTTATTCTTTTGCATAACAAAAATATAGTATAAAATCTAATTTTTCCATTCAAATTATTCAAATAAAAATAAAGATTAAAAGTAAAGTAAAAGAAAGACAAGCTTAAAACAAATAGACAAATACACCTTATTTCTTTTGTAGTTCATGGCTTAGTTTCAGCAAAGAATCTATATCTATATATCTATCTATATCTATATCTATATTATATTAAAAGCACGAAGGCCCTTACCAAAATGTCATTTGCCTTTTTTATCCTTTAAAAATTGTCACGACCCAAAATCCCACCACATGTGTCGTGATGGCACCTAGTCTCTAAGACTAAGTAAGCCAATTACAATTACATTTCAAGCCATTTTTTTTATATATACACGGAAATAATTACAAATATAACAACCTCCCAAAACTGGTAGTACTGAGTCACGAACTCTAACTGAATACATGAAATGATCACGAGAACCGAATATACAATAATGTTTGATTAAAAATTAACAGTACGATGAAATGAAAAGACTCCAAGGGACTGTTACGACCAAACAGCTCTACCTTAAATCCTTACGGTCCCGCTTTAACTCTGCTCAAGTCCGATACCTCCAATACCTGGCTCTGCACAAAAATGTGCAGAAGTATAGTATGAGTACACCACGGTCGGTACCCAGTAAGTATCAAGACTAACCTTAGTGGAGTAGAGACGAGGTACAGTCAAGACACTCAGTAGTCTAATAATCAGTGCAATATAGTATAGAAAATAATACTGGAAAATAACTAGCAATGATAACAAGAACAACATAATTATTGCTCAGACGAATAATAAATACAAATACACCCAATTAAATCAAATTCTTCAAATAAATGTCCTTCACATATAATTCTACCAAATAACTCTCTTTCAAATATAATTTTTCCTCAAATAAATATCTTTCAAATACAATTCTTTCATATAATACTTTCTAAATAAAAATCCTTCCAAATAAATATTTTGAATATAATGCTTCAATTTAAAAGTCACCATGTGACACCTTATCTCATAATCATAAAAATACGGGTCTCAACCCATTTTCATATTTTTCATAAACACGGGTCTCAGCCTATTTTTCATATCTCCACGGCACTTCATGCCCATAATTAAATCATCATATTTTTCCGGCACCTCGTGCCCTCATTTCATATCTCAACTGCACGGACAACTCACGTACCAATATCCTCAATGTATATAAGATCCACACGATCAATTTATTTTTCAATAAAGTAAGGTTAAAATCTTAAATCAAGTAAGAAATTAATAAATGAATGAATTTATTTTAGGATCATTTGGGTGGAGAAAATAATATTTCACTTAAAATAAAATATCAGATAAACTACTGATTTGGATATAAAATTTATTAAATTAAAACATACTAGAATTTTTCTTTTATTTAAAACAACTCAATCATCAAAAACAAGTACAACCTAAAAATACAAATCCTCAAAGTCTCGTACGAAAAAGTCGAAGTCAACACAATACATCAAGAAATACAAAATACTTAATATTAAGTGAAATAATACATCACAGAAAATACAAGAATTTACAAATTTCGAAAAAATAAAATAACCAAAGGCAAGTGTAACCATAGAGAAATATCAACAAAAGGGCACTCCCTAGGTATCGCCTCATAGTCTCAACTCATAAATAAATTCACAATATCTCATTTTCTTATATCACCGCGGGAGCCTTCATATTTAATTTTAAACAAATTATTATTATTTTTTCAAAATAGCATCCCGCGTTTTTAGCCACCTTTATCACACCGCATGACTTCTAGTAGTTGCCCTACTAGCCACGCGTTTCAAGCCACCCTTTTCTCACCGCATGCGTTTCAACACCCTGATCTTATATCACTGCATGACTTCTAGTAGTTCCCCTACTAGCCACGCGTTTCAAGCTACCCTTATCTCACCGCATGCGTATCAATATCACAATATTTCACAAATCGCACCTCAAGTGCCCAAATATTATAACATATCATAAATTGCACATCAAGTACTCAAATATTATAACATATCACAAATTGCACATCAAATGTTCAAATCTTACAACATATCACAAATTGTACATCAAGTGCTCAAATCTTACAACATATCACAAATTACACATTAAGTGCTCAAATATTACAACATATCACAAATTGCAGATCAAATGCTCAAATCTTACAACATATCACAAATTGCACATCAAGTGCTCAAATATTATAACTTTCCACATAAATCAATAATACATTATTTTTTCACAATAAGGAACCCACGACTCGATCATAATGTGTACAACATCTTAACAAAATGTTCGGGAGTGAACAACTCAACCGAATAATATTTTATAATTTGGCACTTTGCCTCAATATGATTCGCGGCCTTTTTAATTCAATACCAAATTTTTAACAACGTGAATTGAAAAGTAATTCATCAAGGAACAATACCTCTTTTAAATCACAACTTCAAGAAATAAATAGATTTATTCATCTTATTAACTAAATTTTCTATTTAAATTATCTATACATAAAATTAATAATGAAAGTGTTTTTCATAAAATTGGCAACTCAAACAAACACAAAGTTCACATAAAAGTCAAGTGACAATTCAAATTATCATATAAAAACAATCTCGGCAAACAAGGAATGAGGCATGACAAATAAGGGATTTAATAAGTTACAATAATTTTCCAATTTAATACTTAAGGGCGTCTATGAATTTCAACCGATATAATATGCACATATAAACCAAGTACGTACTCGTCACCTCGCGTACATGGTTTTCAATTATACAATTTTCACATAAGACTCAATGTCTAAGGGGTAATTTTCCCCACTCAAGGTTAGGCAAGATACCTACCCTTTTTAAGTTATGCCGATATTCCAAAATAGCCGTCTTGCTTTAATAAATCCTCCGGACAGCTCAAATCTATTCAAATTAATTCAATTTAGTCAATACTAATTATATGAATTAATTCCATATGAAAATACTAATTTTCCAACAAAATCCGAAATTTAACTCAAAAATCGCCTGTGGGGCCCACATCTCGGAATCCGGCGAAACTCACAAAATTCGATAACCCATTCAATTACGAGTCCACCATACCAATTTTATCAAAATTCGATAACAACTCGACCTCAAAATCTTAAATTTTTATTTTTGGATGATTTTACAAAAATCTTGATTTTTCTTCCATAAATTCATAGATTCATGATGTAAATGAGTATGGAATCATGAAATATAATCGATATAGGATAAGGAACACTTACCGCAATGTTTTCCCATGAAAATCATCCAAAAATCACCCAAGAACCGTGCTCCAAAAATTCAAAACGAAATGAAGGAAATGACCATTTTTGGTCCTTAAGTTTCTACCCATCCGTCACTAAAAGTCCATTTTCCGTCACTAAAAGTCCAGAACTTGCTTGTACTAGCCTTTATTCAATCGATCATAACTTTATGTACAAATGTCCAAATGATGAATGGTTTAACTTTCTGGAAAATAGAATCATAAGACTACAACTTTCATGTTTTGATACTTTTCTGATTCCTTATGAATTGTGAGATATAAGCTTCTAAATTCGGCTCCACGCATCAGAAATTTCTGGCGAAACTGCCCTACCAGCCTTTATTCAATCTATCATAACTTTCTGTACAAATGTCTAATTGATGTGTGGTTTAAAATTCTGGAAACTAGAATCAAAGGTATACAACTTTCATGTTTTGGAAATTTTCATATTCCTTATACATTTCGAGATATAAGCTTCCAAAATCGTCTCCACGCATCAGAAATTTCTGGCGAAACTGCCCTACCAGCCTTCATTCAATCCATCATAACTTTCTTTATAAATGTCCAAATGATGTGTGGTTTAATATTCTGGAAACTAGAATCAAAGGGCTACAACTTTCATGTTTTGAAAATTTTTATATTCCTTATACATTTCGAGATATAAGCTTCCAAATTTGACTTTGCGATTGTACCAGTTGCTGTCCAAAAACAGCTTCTGCAGCAGAAAAATTCCAACAGCTCCTTTTTGTCCGAATCCATTCCGTTAACCTTCCGAAATTCACCCGAGGCCCTCGGGACCTTAACCAATTATACCAACATGTCTCAAAATACAATACGAACTTAGTCGAGGCTTCAAACCACATCAAACAATATCAAAACGAAGAATCGCACCTCAAATCAAAATCTATGAAC